CTTTATCAACATTATAAACATTATCTCTGTGTCCACAGCAGGATTCGAACCTGCAAACTCTGTATCAGAGTACAGAGTACTTTACCACGGAGCCAGACCCCAAATAAGTACGAGCGCCTAACTAGAGCTAGACGACGTTTCCACATTCCTAAAATGATTTTATAGATTTTTAAATTTTGCCGCCGAAGTAGCTAGTTTATTGTGTACCTCATATCCATCCTGTGGATGGTAGTGGCTAGTTTATTGTGTACCTCATATCCATCCTGTGGATGGTAGTGGCTAGTTTATTGTGTACCTCATATCCATCTTGTGGATGGTAGTGGCTAGTTTATTGTGTACCTCATATCCATCCTGTGGATGGTAGTGGCTAGTTTATCAGTGGTTAGTGGTCAGTGGTCAGTGGTCAGTGGTCAGTGGTCAGCGGTCAGTGGTCAGTGGTCATGTGAGGTCACAGGCCCTGAGCTGCTCTGTGGATTAGTGTAGACGGTTACAAAGTCATGACTTACTTTTGCAATGTTTTAAAAATTGAGGTCGGAGAGTTGAAGGAGGAAGTCTTGCTTCTCCAGGAGGAAATTATGAGGCTGAAGGTTCACCTCAATGGGTTTGGGAGCGAGTGTGAGGTGGCTGGAATTGTGGAGAGGAATGAGGCTACCAGCAGTGAGGTGCAGTCTCTCTCGCTGCGAGGAAGCTGTAGGTGGGGAGGTGGCAACAGCTACCAGCAGTGAGGTGCAGTCCAGCACCTGCTACAATCGGCAAGTGATTCCCAGTAATGGGAAGAGCATCAAAATAAGGAAAGTTAAGAGAGAAGAATTGAAGGTAGAAAATCGCTTCTCTGTTCTTCAGGATGAGTGTACTTCAGTGGCCAGTGAAGGTAAAGGTACTACTTCCCCTGCAAATAGAGGTAAATGCATACTTGTGGTTGGTGACTCACAGGTAAGATAAATGGACCGTGCTTTCTGTAATAGGAATAAGAAGGTAAGAGATAGAGTGTACTTCCCTGGAGCTGGTGTTAGTGACATAGTCAACAGGTAGGATAATATCATGTTAGGTAATGGGAACAAGCCTATTATCTGTCTCACTGCTAGTGGAAATGATATTGGGAAGGGTAGGAGAGAAGAGCTCCTAGATAAGCACAGGTCAGCTATAGATTTAATTAAGTCTAAGGGAGGGGTCCCAGTCATATGTAGCATCTTGCCTAGAAGGGGAGTGGGCAATGAATGGTTGACTAGGGCAATTGGTGTAAATTGCTGGCTAGACAGATACTGCAAGGAACTTGCAATCTCATTCTTGCAAACTCAGTCGAGAGGGCCATTGCTGAAATGCCTAGGATTTTAAACTGATAGAAGATAGAGGTATGTGTGTGTGTGTGGGAAACAGTCAGGTTGCAACACTAGGGTTGAAAACAGTAAATATATAAAAGACATTCATCATGAAGTTATAAATAAAGACAATAGATCAGGTCAGCAAACAAAGGGAGACAGCAGAGGGCAGCAAGGGACTAGCTCTCTTAAGGTCTTCTATACTAATAGCAGGAGTGTAAGAAATAAGATAGATGAGCTAAGATTAATTGCAAGTGCAGGAAACATAGATATCATTGCTATAACAGAGACCTGGATCAATCTGAAAGATAGAGAGATACCTTCTGAATGTCACATACAAGGCTATAAATTATTCCATACTGACAGGGTCAACAGGAAGGGTGGTGGAGTAGCGATGTAGGTCAGAGACAATTTAAATTGTTGTGTTAGACAAGATATAAAATTAGAAGCATCAGCCACTGAATCTGTTTGGTTACAGCTTCTCAAGGGCCGTGAAAAACTAATTTTGGGCATGATTTACAGGGCCCCAAATCTTGATAGGGAGTACGGTAAACTTCTATGGGATGAAATTCGTAAGGTATCTACATACGAAAATGTTGTGATAATGGGAGATTTCAACTACAGACAGACTGACTGGAGCAATTTGACAGGAAATTTACAGTCAAGTGACTTTCTTGATACGATTCAGGATTGTTTTTCCAAACAGTTTGTGACAGAGCCAACTAGAGGAAATAACCTGCTTGACTTGGTTCTTGCCACCAGGGAAACGCTAATTAACAATCTTGAGGTTAATGATGAGCTTGGGGAAAGTGATCACAAATCACTCAGTTTTAATATATCATGGAATTCCCCTAATGATGGTAATCAAGTCTCTGTCCCTGACTTCCACTTGGCTGATTTCATAGGACTGAAAAATTACTTGGGTGGGCTGAACTGGAATGACCTGACTGTGGGTCAGGTAAGTGGTGATGGTTGCCGATATGACGTTTTCCAGGGCATAGTTCTAGCTGCTCAGACATCTTATGTTCAAAATAGGGAAATCAGATCAAGCAAAAATGACCCTAAATGGATGAACAATAGATTCAAACATCTCATTGGTCAAAAGAGATGTATATATAGGCAAATCAAAAGAGGAGAGGTGCAATTAAGAAATCAATATATTCAGTTAAAGAGAGAAATAAAAAGGGGAATAAGAAAAGCAAAAAGAGATTATGAGGTTAAAGTTGCAAGAGAATCGAAGACTAACCCAAAAGGATTCTTTCAGGTATACAGAAGTAAGATCAGGGACAAGATAGGCCCACTCAAAAGTTACTCGGGCCAGCTCACTGACAGTGATAAGGAAATGTGTAGAATTTTTAACACATACTTCCTCTCAGTTTTTACACAGGAAGATACTAGCGATATTCCAGAAATAATAAATTATGTAGAACAGGATGATGATAAACTATGCACGATTAGGGTCACAAGTGACATGGTCCTTAGGCAAATAGATAAATTAAAACCTAACAAATTCCCAGGCCCTGATGAACTGTATGCAAGGGTTCTAAAGGAATGTAAAGAGGAGCTTAGCAAACCTTTGGCTAATCTTTTCAACATATCACTACCAACTGGCATGGTGCCAGATAAGTGGAAAATGGCAAATGTGATACCTATTTTCAAAGCAGGTGACAGGTCCTTAGCTTCGAACTATAGATCAATAAGCCTAACCTCCATAGTGGAAAAATTTATGGGATCAATAATTGCCGAGGCAGTTCGTAGCCACCTTGAAAAGCATAAATTAATCAACGAATCTCAGCATGGTTTTACAAAGGGGCATTCCTGCCTTACGAATTTATTAACTTTTTCACTAAGATGCTTGAGGAGGTAGATCATGGTAATGAATATAATATTGTGTATATGGACTTCAGTAAGGCTTTTGACAGGGTCCCACATCAGAGACTATTGAGGAAAATTAAAGCACTTGGAATAGGAGGAGAATTTTTTTTCCTGGATAGAGGCATGGTTGGCAAATAGGCAGCAGAGGGTTTGCATAAATGGGGAGAAATCAGAGTGGGGAAGCGTCACGAGCGGTGTTCCACAGGGGTCAGTGTTGGGCCCCCTGTTGTTCACAATCTAAATGAGGGCATAAAGAGCGACATAAGCAAGTTTGCCGATGACACCAAAATAGGTTGTCGAATTCATTCTGACGAGGACATTAGAGCACTCCAGGAAGATTTGAATAGACTGATGCAGTGGTCGGAGAAGTGGCAGATGCAGTTTAATATAGACAAATGCAAAGTTCTAAATGTTGGACAGGAAAATAACCATGCCACATATAAACTAAATAATGTCGATCTTAATATTAATGATTGCGAAAAAGATTTAGGACTTCTGGTTAGCAGTAATCTGAAACCAAGACAACAGTGTATAAGTGTTCGCAATAAAGCTAACAGAATCCTTGGCTTCATATCAAGAAGTATAAATAATAGGAGTCCTCACATTGTTCTTCAACTCTATATATCCTTGGTTAGGCCTCATTTAGATTATGCTACACAGTTTTGGTCACCGTATTACAGAATGGATATAAATGCTCTTGAAAACATACAAAGGAGGATGACAAAGTTGGCCCAATGTATCAGAAATCTTCCCTATTAGGTTAGACTGAAGACCCTGAATCTGCACTCTCTAGAAAGGCGTAGAATTAGGGGGGATATGATTTAGGTGTATAAATGGAAGACAGGAACAAATAAAGGGGATGTAAATAACGTGCTGAAAATATCTAGCCTAGACAGGACTCGTATCAACTGTTTTAAGTTGGATAAATTCAATTCAGGAAGGATATAGGAACAAACTCCCAAGTACAGTGATAGAGGCTAAAACGTTGTGTAGTTTTAAAGGTAAGTTAGATAAATACATGAGTGGGTGTGAGTTGGACCTGATTAGCTTTTCTTACTAGGTCAGTTGCCGTGTTCCTTGGGTGAATGTGACCTGACCTGACTAGGTTGGGGCATTGACTTAAGCTGGTAGGAGACTTGGACCTGCTTCACATGGGCCAGTAGGCCTGCTGCAGTGTTCCTTCTTTCTTATGTTCCATCCTGTGGATGGTGGTTTACCTGGAGTTTACCTGGAGAGAGTTCCGGGGGTCAACGCCACCGCGGCCCGGTCTGTGACGAGGCCTCCTGGTGGATCAGAGCCTGATCAACCAGGCTGTTGCTGCTGGCTGCACGCAAACCAACGTACGAGCCACAACCCGGCTGGTCAGGAACCGACTTGAGGTGCTTGTCCAGTGCCAGCTTGAAGACTGCCAGGGGTCTGTTGGTAATCCCCCTTATGTGTGCTGGGAGGCAGTTGAACAGTGAAGTAATTTTTATAAGGCAAAATACGACATTCTATTTCTGAGAACTAGAAGAAACAGAATCAGATACCATACTCTCACACACACATAATGCCCTGACTTAATCACACACCAACATGTGACCAATAATAACAACAATGAATTAAGAGGTGCCTAAGGGCACTGTCACTGGTCTTCTGTTATTTCACTCTACGTCAAACCTACTTACTACCTCCCAGAATTTTAAATCAATCATTTCGAATATAGATCCGGTTGTTTACAACAAAATTGTTAATGATGTGTTCGTGAAAACCAACAAAACGAATAAACTCAAAACTCGAAATCAGAATTTATTTTCACATTTGTTTGTACAGAAATTTGTGACACAATGTTCGGAAATAAGGCTAAAAAAAATGTACAGATGAACATAAAGAGAAATAATACATACAATGCCACAATGATGAAAAAATTTTAAGTACAAATATGACATTAGAATTCAACTTACACGTCCATCATTTATCTAAAAAAAATTCTAAAACAGTGGGTATTCTTTCGAAAATACATATATATGTACCTCAGATAACATTATTCACTCTCTATTCTTACATAGCATATATGTACACAGACATCTACAGCAACAAATCACACAAAACCAATCATGACACAATATAAATTCCCTGTCAAAATTATCACCGAACATCCTCACAGTTCAGAAGTTTAAATAAACAGAACATACAAATCATCCATATTAACTAATGTACATAATATACATACAGAATTCACAATATAAACATTAGTCCAGACCTTAAGCTCTTCTTGAAGAGCTGCAACAGAATATATATAGACACAATATAACAAAAAATACTGTGATATTCCAGGAATTCAATTCCGTCTGATTAGAAAAGCCATGAAAATTTAAGACCCAAAAATAGGAAACTATCTTCCAGAAAATTTAAAAAAATAATCAACCTGCCAACTGCTTCAAATTTTCTTATTAACCATCATTTTCTAGATATGATGTTGAATATATGATGGGAAATAAATATCAGATGTTTAAAATGTAATAATAATCTTATCCAGATTAAAACGAACTAATGTTCGAGTGTTAATACACTCGTATAGTTATTGTTACCACTATTTTTGTACCCCTGTCCCTTCAGTAATTATTATAACCAAAATTTCAATATAGTGTTGTATGCCTGTCTTATATTGTGGTTCTTGATTCACCGGTACTGTCCCGGTCCGGGACTTTTCCAGATGGTGACCCGGCCTTGGCTCCCTGTCTTGGGAGTGTCTTGGGACCTATGTTTCTCATGGGAGGAGGTACAAGTACCTCCTCATCTTGCGGGACCAACTGTCCCCAGGCGTAGCCTCATCCCCTGCCCTCACGGGGCTCGCAGGGAGAAACTAGGCCTCTGGTTCTGGCTCTGTATCATCTCATCACATTAACAATGATGTTTTAACACGTAGAGTTTTATTACTTAACATAATTATTACATTTCATAATATTAACTCCACACATTACATTAAACGAAGCCTTCAAATAATGTAACTTCATCTCTACAATGTCAAGAAGTTTTAAATTTTAGTTCAGTCTACCCATAATGCTCTGCTTAGTAAGAGACTTTTCAAAGTATCTGGGATAAATGTCAGCTAATTTCCTAACATTTAAGTGCATTTTGAAGATTGAATTAGTGTATTTCTTTTATTTGTTTCAAAAGGTTCAGGAAATGGCCAAACATTTAATTCTTGTTGGTAAAAATTCTAACCGAATTCGATCATCTTCATTTTCTGTAAATATTATTATTGTTATTATTATTATTATTATTATTATTATTATTATTATTGTTGTTGTTGTTGTTGTTGTTGTTGTTGTTGTTGTTGTTGTTGTTACAATCATGTGGGGAGCCCTAAGCTTGTAGGGGTGATGGTAGGCTATCAGAATCGATCCTAGAGAAGACAGTGTACGTCCAGTTCTTTGGATCAAGAACCATTCTACTGTTAATTCTAAAATTACCAAGTATAACGGAGTTGTCAAAAGATGGCTGGGATTCTTAATGCGACACAGTGATCCTTCGACTTTGACGTATGTAATAAAGAAAATAATTGAGGGCTATTTTTATATAGAGGAATAACACTTATTTTCACAAAGGTTGATCTCGAACAGGTGTTCGGAGACTCTTGTGTACTTCCCTGCTCAGAATGTCACCCACAACAGCCCACTAACACCCAGCTGCCTAGTTAATGCTGGGTGAACGGTGGCAGCTGGTGTAAGGAGACTTGATCATACGTCTCTCCCTGGGAGAGGTGTTATTTTCTGTTGTGCTGAGTGCTGCCTTAGGAAACCTCTCTCTGCGTCCTCTCTGACGCAGTGATCTCCGCATCACTCAACCCGCTGGCGTAGCATGTAGCGTTCTCTCTTTCTGGTAAGTCCAAAGTTCCTTTCGTCTGGTCCTCTGTGCTCCCAAGCCTCTTGCTTTTCAAAGTCAGCTGACTGTTGTCATCTGAAACTACAGCTGAGACAGTGTTCTCTCTACTGGAGTCAAGTGTTGTGTTTGCCGATTGTTCTTTGGTTATCGGCAGTTGGTGAGCTGTGGACGGCTCCTGGGATTTCTGGCCTCCTGAACCGCTGAGAGTTACGTCAACAGATTTGAGAGTGATGGATAGGCGCTTCTTGAAGACCTTCTGGATGAATGTGTCATTGTTCTTGGCTTCCAGTTCCACATCCTCAGCGTTGTGTGACGACGAGTGACGCAGCGCTTCCACCAGACTGAACAAAGAAGAGACAATGGAATGTGATGCATACAAGTAGTTGGAAAAGCCACAAAAATGTAAACATTAATACAATTTACTTAGAATGTTTTGTCCCAAAGGCACATATAGGTAGGAAGACGAAGGTCTTATTGCTGAGAAAGGTGAAGAATGAGACACGTATGCAACATTCGGAAATCTTTATTGTGGACACGTTCCCGCAATAAAGATTTCCGAATGTTGGACAGATGTCTCATTTATCAACTTGTCGTTTTTATAAACCATTTTCATCACACTAAAAAAAAAAAAAGCGCCTGTGGAAGACGGCACAACAGACCACAAATAGAAGTTAATTCTTTAAACAGCTTCTAAGCCCAACTTGGATTATTATTAAGGAACTCTCAGTCGTTATTTAATAAAAAATCAGAACGAACAGGAACACAATTTAAAAATATATTACCATTTTCTGTTAGCTACAAATTATTCCAGTCACCGAACTGTGATTTTTTTTTTTCTTAAAAGGAACATGACTAAAAGAATGATTTGAATTTTGTGATTATTCTCGCAGATTATTTTCTACTGAGTTATTATTTAATTCGACTTACATGAAGGTGATCATAATGATAACGTTGAGAGAGGCAGCAAAGAAGAACTGAGCAGCTGGGAAGGTATCAACGGTGTTGTAGTAGAGGGGAGAGTAGACAGCGTAACCCATCATCGGCATCAACCCGTTGAGTGCCGCCATCACCGCGTTGATACGACCTGTTGAGCAACATCAACGTTAGTTTACAATCGAAATGATGACTTATCAACAGAGAATTGCATACAAGTCAATGCATCACACACGTTCTGCTAGGATGCTAAATTGGGTATCTTTATTTTGTAGACGTTTCGCCTGTCAGTAGCTTAATCAATACAATATAGAAGACTGGTTGGCGAAACGTGTACAGAATAAGATACACACACGTTGCACATGTGTCTAATTTATCATCTAATCTGCATTATGTACCACTGATACACACACTTTGTTATGTGCACTTGGGCTCGTCTCCAGCCTCGTTGTTGAGATACAAGGGATACAAGGGAGACCATCGTTGAGATACAAGGGATACAAGGGAGACCATCGTTGAGATACAAGGGATACAAGGGAGACCATCGTTGAGATACAAGGGATACAAGGGAGACCATCGTTGAGATACAAGGGATACAAGGGAGACCATCGTTGAGATACAAGGGATACAAGGGAGACCATCGTTGAGATACAAGGGGATACAAGGGAGACCATCGTTGAGATACAAGGGATACAAGGGAGACCATCGTTGAGATACAAGGGATACAAGGGAGACCATCGTTGAGATACAAGGGATACAAGGGAGACCATCGTTGAGATACAAGGGATACAAGGGAGACTATCGTTGAGATACAAGGGAGACACGTGAGATATCAAGTTGGATACAAGGGAGACCATCGTTGAGATACAAGGGATACAAGGGGGACCATCGTTGAGATACAAGGGATCAGACCATCGTTGAGATACAAGGGATACATGTTGAGATCATGTTGATACAAGGGAGACCTCGTTGAGTAGGGATACAAGGGAGACCATCGTTGAGATACAAGGGATACAAGGGAGACCATCGTTGAGATACAAGGGATACAAGGGAGACCATCGTTGAGATACAAGGGAGACCATCGTTGAGATACAAGGGATACAAGGGAGACCATCGTTGAGATACAAGGGATACAAGGGAGACCATCGTTGAGATACAAGGGATACAAGGGAGACCATCGTTGAGATACAAGGGATAATACGAGCCCCGCTTCACTACAAATCCCGGGTAATGATATTATACATGGAGCGTTTTTCTCTTAAATACATTATTCACTACAGTTCACTGCGTAATAGTCCCTAACTTAAAATTCCCAACAACAGCAACAGCCCTGTTCATTTTGACCAGTCTTTGGACGGATGGCTCACGAAATCGTAATGACACGATTGCAAACAAACTAGACCACGGGCAGGATTGAACCCGCGGTCAGAGAGTCTCAAAACTCCAGACCGTCGCGTTAGCCACTGGACCAGCTAGCCACAATAAGATTCGTCCAACTAGGTATATTTCTGCACCATAGGAAGGTTAGCATAGGCACCACTGTGACCACAAATGCAAGTTTTTACAGACGAATTTGTGGTCACAGTGGTGCCTATGCTAACCTTCCTATAGTGTAGAAATATACCTAGTTGGACGAATCTTATTGTGGCTAGCTGGTCCAGTGGCTAACGCGACGGTCTGGAGTTTTGAGACTCTCTGATCGCGGGTTCTATCCCCACCCGTGGTATGGTTTGGACGGATGCTCACCTAGATATAGTTCTCCTCTTTGTTAAACAGTATTCTGTTGGACAAATTAGATTAATTTGCTTTCTAATTAAACTAGTGAACTTCAGCCTTATTTAAAAAACTTAGGAACAAAAGTAATGAATAAGATACATGTGCAAATCGTGTGTATCTTACTTTATCTTAACGTGTTGTCTGCATACCAGGCTTCAACAGTCAAATGCAAAGGTGATTTAACACCAAAGACAGTATTAAAGATACCCAAGGTGATGTATATGTGTCTTATTCATCAATAAAGATACCCAGGTGTTGCACATGTGCCTTATTCATCAATAAAGATACCCAGGTGTTGCACATGTGCCTTATTCATCAACTTGTCTGTATTACTTAACATAGAAACAAACCAGCTCACCTTTCTCTTCGCTTTTGACGAGTTTGGTTGACATCGACTTGAGGGAGATGACTATAGCGTTGGAGATGAGACCTGCAGGAGGTCCCAGCCACATGAGGAATGTTTGTGCTGGTCCACTTACCAGACCATAACACACGTACTCCCCTATCATAGACACTGTCGCTATCACCACCAGTGAAGCGTCCGTGAAAGACAGTAACTTTGTTAGGAACGGCACCAGGAACAGCGAGCCTGTAAATGATAAAAATATTAGTTTTATATAAGGTAATTTAAGACAAAATGGATGAATCTTTATATTGTAACGTATAAATAAGAATACCAGCCACTGCATCTTTTCTTGACCACAATTGGACAAGAATAACAGCTCCTCTGAAAGCTGGCATAATCAATGATAACACTGAGCACTGTACTTCATCTTGTTGGTATACAATACCGACAAGATAAATAAACACATATTACACGTGTGTCTGTTTCTTCATCAACACTGGCCCGTGCCCTGGTGGCAAAAGCTCTCGCTTCACACGGTGAGGGGTCCAGGTTCGATTCCCGGCAAAGGTTGGAAACACTGGGTGCGTTTCCTTACACCAGTTGTCCTTGCTCACCCATCAGTAATAATGGGTACCTGGGTATTAGTCGACTGGTATGGGTCAGAAGTGCTCAGTATAACAAGCGGGTTTCTTTTCATTAATGTCAACTAGGCTTGTATACCTTGTACATGTACTTGTATACCTTGTACATGCACTTGTATACCTTGTACATGTACTTGTATACCTTGTACATGTACTTGTATACCTTGTACATGTACTTGTATACCTTGTACATGTACTTGTATACCTTGTACATGTACTTGTATACCTTGAACATGTACTTGTATACCTTGTACATGCACTTGTATACCTTGTACATGTACTTGTATACCTTGTACATGTACTTGTATACCTTGTACATGTACTTGTATACCTTGTACATGTACTTGTATACCTTGTACATGTACTTGTATACCTTGTACATGTACTTGTATACCTTGTACATGTACTTGTATACCTTGTACATGTACTTGTATACCTTGTACATGCACTTGTATACCTTGTACATGCACTTGTATACCTTGTACATGCACTTGTATACCTTGTACATGCACTTGTATACCTTGTACATGTACTTGTATACCTTGTACATGTACTTGTATACCTTGTACATGTACTTGTATACCTTGTACATGCACTTGTATACCTTGTACATGTACTTGTATACCTTGTACATGTACTTGTATACCTTGTACATGTACTTGTATACCTTGTACATGTACTTGTATACCTTGTACATGTACTTGTATACCTTGTACATGTACTTGTATACCTTGTACATGTACTTGTAGAAATAGAGATATTATTATTATTACCCCGTCTTGCTCTGTTTTTAATTATACTGTCATAATATCGAAGATGAGACGGGAGACAGGCGTTCCAAGAAAGTGGAGCATACTCAAGGTCTGAGTGCACTTACGAGGTCTTGCAGCTAACTGTCACCCCAACTGTCTCTTTTAGACTCAACGACGATTTTAAGTGATTAAATTTATCATGAGTATAAGAACTATTGACTGACAGAGATAATTCAATAATGTTCAGTATATTTACTCACGTTTCCAAGTTTTTCTTAAATCATGCAATGCCTATAACATATTCCCCTTTAAAAATAATCGAAACAGTTAAATATAGTCAAAAAAAATAGTCAAAAATAGCAAAAATAATAAAAAATGTCAAAAATAGGCAAAAGTAATAAAAACTAATCAGAAAAATAAAAAAAAAACGTGAAAAAAGTAAAAAAATAATGAGAAATCACCTCCTAAACCTGAATTATATTTAACTCTTACGTATCAATAACAACCCTGTTGATCCACATCATTTTAACATTTAAACAGAAGTTTAAACAACCATTAATCTAGTTCAACACATGTATTAACCAAGTGTATACTAAACTTATCAAAATATTGAGAAGTCAAATTTGGCCAACCATAACATTGCAATAGTCTGGTGTTTTTGTCTCTTCGCCTAGTAATCAGAAGCTAACCTTTAGGCTACTGTGAATGCTGTGCATAAGAAGGGGCTGTCTATATACACGGTGTTTCACTCGTAGAAGGCGCCAAGTTGGTACTCTCGTAGGTGCAGCCGAGTTGGTACTCTCGTAGGTGCAACCGTGTTGGTTGTATATCTGTGGTGAACGATAACTCGGGGCCTCCTACGAGTGAAATACCGTGTAGTTTACACGTGTCAGTTACTCCATTATCAAATGTGTACCGTACTTTACTCTACAAAGTTGTGGTGTATTTGTTATTAACGTACCAAGGGCAGCCATTAAGTTACGATAAGTGATCCAGTAGCCGTAGTCAGTGGCGTCCCATTGTAGGGCGCGACGCACGAACAGGTACATGAAGAACCCTGGAACAGTAGAATTTGACCATAATAGTTAGGCACTGAAAGCTTTACAAATAGTATATTTACAGTACACAAATAACCCGACCATAGGAGAAAAACTTTACGACGACGTTTCGGTCCTATTTGAACCATTAACTAGTCATAGTGTGACTAGTTAATGGTCCAAGTTGGACCGAAACGATAAAGTTTCTTTCTCCTCTGTGCGGATTGTATATGTATTGTTCCAGTCACGGTATTGTGACTTTGTGTTTTCTATATTTACAAGCTGAGTATTGATTAATAATAAATCTTTCTAAGGACATTTTATGTAGATTTATGCGGGAGTAAAGAATCAGTGAACTGAAGAATTAAACACGTGCAACATCTGGGTATCTTCATTGACGTCTACAATGAAGATATTCAAATGTTGCATATGCATCATTTCATCTATTCGGTATTGTATACCATGTATGTACATGCAATTACCTCTAGCCATGCGTCGTATCATGTTAGCAGTCATTACAGCCAAGAGAATAGCCCTCGCGTTGCCCTCGCGTCTCCTGAACGCTGTCTTGAAGGACTCCACTACGCGCCTCCAGTTGAAGAAATCCACCACCATGGTGGTAATTTTCACATCCCTTTTCGTGAAGTTGGAGTCATCTGTGATGGATCCCTTTGCTTGTAGCTTTTTCTTGGCGAAGGGTCCGTGACTTTCCTTTATGAAGACGACGATATAAATACCTGTGAGAAAGTATGCGAGCAACACGAGCCCTAAAGCCATATTATAATCACTGTACTTAATGACTAATGCACCAACTAGCGTACCCAGGGGACCGCCTAAGAACCACATCGAGTTGGCCGTACTGATGCGAGAGGTTCGCTGAGCTTCCTTGCTGATGTCGCTGATGTAGCTGACTGTAGAGGAGAGGATGCCTGCGTTGGTGCCTCCCAGAGCTTCCAAAAAGGTCACAAAGTAGATCACTTCTACAGGCCAGCTGGTTTGCCAGTTGGACAGCAGGTAACCCCCAGCAAACATCACGTGACCCACCACCGTTACTAGTATGGGAATCTGTCAGCAAAAAAAGAAAATATATGACGTGTGATAAATGGTTTAAAAGACTGAGATACCTTTCCATTATTTAGGAATCTACACTGAGGAAACGTTTCGCCCGCCAGTGGCTTCAGTTCAAGACAGAGAAGAACGGTGGAAAAAAGGAGGAGTTTGAGGAAATCAGTCCTTAACCTGGAATCGATTCCAGGCTCAGGGACTGATTACCTCAAACTACTCCTCTTTTTCAACCGTTCCTCTTTGTATTAAACTGAAGAAGCCACTGGCGGGAGAAACGTTTCCTCAGTAAAGATTCCCAAATATTGCAAAAGTGTCATTCTTATGATATAATGTTTAACAGTGTGAGTGTTATTACTACAGTGTATAATCATATACAAAAGCAATCAAAGATCAACAGATAATTGATTTCAAACAAGGCTGTTTGTTTATGGAAGGCTTTTTATCAAGCATCAAATAACATTAATTACAGATTGAGGCACTTATGCAGCATATGAGAATCTTTATTCAGGAAACGTTTCGCCACACAGTGGCTTCATCAGTCCAATACAAAGAGGAAGACGTAAGGAGAGGAGGAGTATGAGGTAATCAGTCCGTCAGCCTGGAGTCGATGTGTTCAGATAGTTCCTGACTATGGAACTGAACTTCTCCAGGCCGAGGGACTGACAACCTCAAATTCTACGACTTTAAGGGTGATGGACTGATTACATCGTCTTCACATCTCTACTGTTCCTGCCTACTTTCTGTACTCGACTGAAGAAGCCTACTGTGTAGGCGAAACGTTTCGGAATAAAGTTGTCTAACTGTTGCATATGTGTCTTACCTAACAACCTGTCGGTATTGTATACCATTTTGATGTTCAACTTCCTCTTTGTATTGGACTGATGAAGCCACTGTGTGGCGAAACGTTTCCTGAATAAAGATTCCCATATGCTGCATAAGTGTCTCAATCTTCAACTTGTCGGTTTTTCAAACCATTCATCACAACATTAATTACAACCATAGTGTTACTCTTCTCTGTATGATAGATCAATAGTGGGAACATCAGCAGTGTGCTGCTACCCTACTTTAAATAACAGTTACATGGTGGGAAACAAAGCTAGCTATGGATCCCTGTCATATTCCAGTCACACAAGTTGGGCCTCACACATCACATAATGAGATGTGTCAGCCTGAGACTGGGCAAGGCTACGAGGATATCATTAGTCATTCCAATTTGGGTCCACCACTGGAAGGCTGTAATAAAGTTGGTAGAATTACCGACAATATGTAAACTAAAAGGACACAAGTGCAACTAATGTGACATTTATTGTGGCAACGTTTCGCTCTCCAGGAGCTTTATCAAGCCTGACCACCTCAAAACTTTAAGGGTGATGGACTGATTACATCGTCTTCAAGTATCTTCTGCTTCCATTACAAACAATACATGGACACAGAGGGTATATAAAGGCTCAGAGTGAGGTGCAATACTAGTGAGGTACCATTTAGATGTTCACTAGTGGTAGTTGTAGTAGTAGTAGTAGTGACAAAAGTAATACAATATGATAGAGCAATTGATTCGTACAAGAGTAAAAGGATATAAAAGCTATTACTTGGGTAACATAAAAATAGGTTGGACAAATATAGACTGGAAAGAGGCAGCTTGTTTCAGTGTTCACTCTCTGTAATGTGCTTTGTGTAGTATAACAGGAGAGACTATGTGATGGCAGGGTTTACTGTTTTCAGGAGGATTCTTGCTAAGACTTCGGAGATGGTGTCCTTTTACTTTACACTGGAAGGCTGTTTATACTAATGGGCCAGTAGGCCTTCTACAGTGTTCCTCCATTCTTATGTTCTTATGACATTCCTCAGGTCACGTGCGTCACACCTCACTCTCCGCCTATATATATAATGTCTTTTTACCTCTGTATGTTAGAAGTGATCAAGGTCCCAGGACCGAAACGTTTTCTAATAAATATGTTATAGTGTTTGCTTACGTGTCTTTCTAAACCAACTTGTCGGTATTTATTACCAAGGTTTATACCATACTAATGGTATACAATACCGGGGCCAGGAGCTATGACTCAACCCCTGCAACCATAAACAGGTGAGAGCCGACAAGTACGTAATTAGGAACACTGCAACACAAATTGAAGCTATGCAACTAAACACATACTGACTGAAGGTACCAGACAGTTACATAAATATCTCAGTTCTACTGGAAGAGTGACAGGTAAGATGGAAGGTCCTTGACCACAAGAAATTGCAAAAGATTTTACCGATTCTTACGGAAATAATTCTGAAATGGGGTCTTGAGGTTCACTTAAAATGGCAGGCAAATTCTGTTGTAACTTAACATTATTTAATAGTAATTTTGACAGAATAATAAAAAAATAATAATAATAATAAAATAATAAAAAAATAATAAAATAATAATAATAATAATTACTATTGGTAAATGGGCAACTTTTTTGCTCCTTTATACTTAAAAACAAGTCTTAATAACAATAATAAAAATTTTAAAAACAAAGCTCTTGGGAGCGAAACTTTTGCCTCAAAAAAATGTCACATTAGTTTCTCTGTGTGATTTACCAAAATTTTTCGTCGGGAATTCTATTATTATTTTCAAAAATTATTATTATTATTATTTTTATTATTAATTTTTATTATTATTATTTTAAAATGTCTCCTCGTGACTGAACAAACACAAATAACCCACATGGGACAACGAGCTTACGGAACGTTGGGCCACTTGGCCCGAAGTCGCGTGAGCTCCTCCCGAATTGCTGGTTATTTGTGTGTGTCAACAGAGGGCACAACCAACTAAACATGAGAAAACGTTTCCCCACACACGGTTTCCTCATAAAGGTTCCCATTGAAAAGGGTTTTTCAAAAACCGATAAATCACATTTTCAGACACTGCAGCATCAGGGGTCTTGAACAAGAATTCTTCAACACTGCCAACCTTTGGACAAGACCTACTTACACCGGGGAGGGGTCCCACTGTGACCCCCCTCCTCCTGCTTCCACCCCCTGACGCAGTAATAACCCACTTCTCCGACCACAAAAATTTGGCCTCCAGGGGTGATACTTTTCCACCGATACCTGCCGGGATCCCCCCAAACATTCCTCCTGCATTAGTATGCCCACTGCACACTGAGATCTACCTGGATCCTTTAGTTCCACCATCAAGAACTCTTCAGGCTAAACAACATACCCAGCTTTTTCATTCCCCCCGATCTCCACCTTCGATAAAAATCCAAGTCCAACGCAAATATTGTTTATGTTTCCCAGCTCCCCACCACCGCCTCCTCCTTCCCCACTGTTTTGGGAAGACAAATGCAACGTTAACAACTTTATTCCGAAACGTTTCGCCTACACATAGGGTTTTCACGAATACAGAAAGTAGGCAGGAAAAGTAGAGATTAAACGATGTAATCATCCTCACCCTTAAAGCGTAAATTTTTAGGTTGTCAGTCCCCCGCCTGAGAAGTTAGTTTCCCTATCGGGGCTACTGAAGATCAAGCGACAGTGCGGGGACTTAAAAACTGTCGGGGGGAGAGGTCAGGGGGAGTATAGTAGTAGTAGTATGAAGGCCACTGAGAGGGCATGTCCCCCCAGACCAACCCTTCTCATTTAAAAGCTTGTCCAAGGTTTTTCTGTACCAAATGCCACTGTTGCAGTGTCGACAAATGAAATCAAAAAGGTTTCAATACCGACAGGGGTTTTTAGGTAAGACACATATGCAACAGTTAACAACTTTATTTTCCCAAACGTTTCGCCCACACTACTTCTTCATCGAATACAGAAAGTAGGCAGGAACATAAGATTGAAAAACGATGTAAACACCATCACCCTTTTAAGCGTAGAATTTGAGGTTGTCCCCGTCCCCCGCCTGGGGAATTCATTCCATAGTCAGGGAAAACTAAGACAACGACATGCGGAGACTTAAATACGTCGGGGGAGGTCAGGGATAGTAGATAGAGTAGTGAGAGGCCACGAGAGGTCATGTCCCTCCGATCCAACCCTTCTCACGAAAAAAGCTTTCCAAGGGGTTTTCGTACCAAATGCCACGGTTTTCAGTGTCCCGACAAAATGAACATCAAAAAGGGATCCTACCGACAGTTGTTTTTGTGACACAAGCAACAGTTAACAACTTTTTTCCCAAACGGGTTTTGCCTACACGTAGGGTTCTTTATTTGAATACAGAAAGTAGGGAGGAAAAGTAGAGAGTGAAGACATGTAATCAGTCCCTCACCCCTTTAAAATCGTAGAATTTGAGGTTGCAGTCCCCCGGCCTGGGGAAGTTCAGTTTTCCCTATCAGGAAATATCTGAAGATCAAACGACAGTGCGGAGACTTAAAAAATGTCGGGGGGAGAGGTGCAGGGTAGTAGTAGTAGTAGTAGTAGTGAGAGGCCACTGAGAGGTCATGTCCCTCTCAGATCCAACCCTTCTCACTTGAAAAGCTTGTCCAAGGTGTTTTCTGTACCAAGATGCCACGTGTTGCAGTGTCTGACAAGATGAACATCAAAATGGTATACAATACCGACAGGTTGTTAGGTAAGACACATATGCAACAGTTAGACAACTTTATTCCGAAACGTTTCGCCTACACAGTAGGCTTCTTCAGTCGAATACAGAAAGTAGGCAGGAACAGTAGAGATGTGAAGACGATGTAATCAGTCCATCACCCTTAAAGTCGTAGAATTTGAGGTTGTCAGTCCCTCGGCCTGGAGAAGTTCAGTTCCATAGTCAGGAACTATCTGAAGATCAAGCGACAGTGCGGAGACTTAAATACTGTCGGAGGGAGAGGTGCAGGGTAGTAGTAGTAGTAGTAGTAGTGAGAGGCCACTGAGAGGTCATGTCCCTCTCAGATCCAACCCTTCTCACTTGAAAAGCTTGTCCAAGGTGTTTTCTGTACCAAGATGCCACGTGTTGCAGTGTCTGACAAGATGAACATCAAAATGGTATACAATACCGACAGGTTGTTAGGTAAGACACATATGCAACAGTTAGACAACTT